ATATATTATTATAAAATATAAATAATAAGTAATTTAAATTAAATAATTTTTTTTTAAAATAATAATAAAAATTAAAAAAAAATTATATATCTATATGAAATTTTATTCTAACTGTATTTTAAAATTAATATATATATATTTATATCAAAATACACTTAGAATGAATTTGTATATATATCTATGTATATATAAATAAATAAAAATAATACGAAATATACATATGTCCATATACAAAATTACATAAATAATTATATAAATATACACGTAGACTTAAACTATATAAATATGCATATATATTTAAATTCTACGTGCGTATTTATGTAATATTTTTACATAATTCAGTAATTTTATTGATTGCAATTTGAGGGACCTGCCTGCCAACCCAGGCCGAAATTCCAGAGAATTTAATTTGCTAGCACTGTATTTTACCCTGTAACGTTCTACGACACCCTAAAACCTGTACATGGGGGGTACTGTTTTACTCGGGAGACTTCGCTGAACACAAATATTAGTGATTCAAAACAGTAAAACATATCACAGCGATGATATTGTCAGTGAAAGTGACTTTTTTTGCATTTTTCACACACAAACAGCACTTTTACTGATGATATAATTGTTGTGATACGTTTTCCAGTTTTTAAACACTAATATTTGTGTTCAGCGATGTCTCCTGAGTAAAACAGTACCCCCCATGTACAGGTTTTATAGCATTTTTGAAAGTTACAAGGTCAAATATATGGGTCAAATATTTTTACATTGAAAATGGCCAGGTTGGTTACGTTGCCTTTGAGAGCGTATGGTAGCCCAGGAATGAGAATTACCCCATGATGGCATACCATTTGCAAAAGAAGACAACCCAAGGTATTGCAAATGGGGTATGTCCAGTCTTTTTTAGTAACCACTTGGTCACAAACACTGGCCAAAATTAGCGTTCAATTTAGTTTTTTTACTTTTTTCACACACAAACAAATATGAATGCTTACTTTGGCCAGTGTTTTCGACTAAGTGGCTACTAAAAAAGACTGGACATACCCCATATTGAATACCCTGGGTTGTCTACTTTAAAAAAAATATGTACATGTTGGGTGTTATTCAGAGATTTATGACAGATAATAGTGTTACAATGTCACTATTGATAAATTTTAAAATGTATGTTTTGAAACCGCAATATCCTACTTGTACCTATAGCCCTATAACATGCAAAAAAAAGCAAAAAAGCACGTAAACACTAGGTATTTTTAAACTCAGGACAAAATTTTGAATCTATTTAGCAGTTTTTTTCATTCGCTTTTGTAGATGAGTAAAAGATTTTTCAAGTAAAAGTAAAAAAACATGTATTTTTTTCAATTTTTCATCATATTTTTTTATTTTTTTTAAATTAAAATACACGAGATTATATAAATAATGGTATGCAAAGAAAGCCCCTTTTGTCCTGAAATAAACAATATATAATTTGTATGGGAACAGTAAATGAGAAAGCGGAAAATTACAGCCAAACACAAACACCGCAAAAGTGTAAAAATATGCCTGGTCGCAAATGTACAACATCGCAAAAACAGTCCAGTCCTTAAGGGGTTAATAGTGAGAGACAGAATAACAACAACAACAAAAATTCCAGAAAAATGCATGTCAAAAAAGTTATAAATTGATTTGCATGTCAATGAGTGATATAAGTATTTGACCCCTTCGACTTAGTACTTGGTGGCAAAATCCTTGTTGGCAATCACAGAGGTCAGACATTTCTTGTAGTTGGCCAGCAGGTTTGCACACATCTCAGGAAGGATTTAGTCCAAATCCTCTTTGCAGATTCTCTCCAAGTTCTTAAGGTTTCGAGGCTAACATTTGGCAACTCAAACCTTCAGCTCCCTCCACAGATTTTCTATGGGATTAAGGTCTGGAGAATGGCTAGGCCACTCCAGGACTTTAATGTGCTTCTTCTTGAGCCACTCCTTTGTTGCCTTGGCTGTGTGTTTTGGGTTAATGTCATGCTGGAATACCCATCAACGACCTATTTTCAATGCCCTGGCTGAGGGAAGGAAGTTCTCACCAAAGATTTGACGGTACATGGCCCCGTCCATGGTCCCTTTGATGAGGTGCAGTTGTCCTGTCCCCTTAGTAGAAAAAAACGCCCGAAGAATTATGTTTCCACCTTCATGTTTGACGGTTGGGATGGTGTTCTTAGGGTCATAGGCAGCATTCCTCCTCCTCCAAACACGGCGAGTTGAGTTGATGCCAAAGAGCTAAATTTTGATCTCATCTGACCGCAGCACTTTCACCCAGTTCTCCTCTGAATCACTCAGATGTTCATTGGCAAACTTCAGACAGGCCTGTACATGTACTCTCTTGAGCAGGGGGACCGTGCGGGGTTTCAGTCTTTCACGGCTTAGTGTGTTACCAATAGCTTTCTTGGCGACTATGGTCCAAACTGCCTTGAGATCATTAACAAGTTCCTCCCGTGTTTTTCTGGGCTGATTCCTCATCATTCTCATGATCATTGAAACTCCACGAGGTGAGATCTTGCATGGAGCACCAGACCGAGGGAGACTGACATATTTTGTGTTTCTTTCATTTGCAAATAATTGCATCCAACTGTTGTTACCTTCTCACCAAGCTGCTTGGCCATGCTCTTGTAGCCCATTCCAGCCTTGTGTAGGTCTACAATCTTGTCCCTGACATCCTTGGACAGCTTGGTCTTGGCCATGGTGAAGAGTTTGGAATCTGATGGATTGCTTCTGTGGACAGATGTCTTTTATACAGGTAACGAGCTGAGATTAGGAGAACTCTCTTTAAGAGGATACCTGGGAGCCAAAAAGCTTGCTTATTGATAGGGATCAAATACTTATTTCACTCATTGACATGCAAATCAATATATAACTTTTTTGAAATGCGTTTTTCTATATATATTTTTTTTTTTGGTTTTCTGTATCTCACTGTTAAAAGACGCCTAGCATTAAAATTATAGATTGATAATTTCTTTGTCAGTGGGCAAACATTCAAAAAGAGAAGGGGATCAAATACTTTTTTCCCTCATTGTAGGCCAAACATTTAACAATTATTCTTGATTGCTATATAATTTACCAACAACTACAGCAAACAAAATTAAAGATTACTTCGCTAGTAAAAATATTCAAAGCCTTCTAAGGAAGCATTAAATGAATTAAATAAATCTTTTTCAGCAGAAGAAGTAATTCAAATTATAAAAAAAAAAAAATGTAAAAATTTCCTGGAAAAAGAAGAAACATACCTGAAGAAATTTTGCAGGGTAATATAGCTCCCATACGTAAGGCAGGTAAAAATCCAGAGGATGTCACCAGCTATGGGCCTATATCAATTTTAAATCAAGATATCAAACTTTATGCAGCAATATTGGCTGAAAGATTAAAACCGGTATTACATAAAACCCTGATTCCCAATAACCACGGGCTTTGTTTCAGGGAGATAATCTGTAAACAATATGCGATCACTCATGAACATATGCCAACAAACTCAAAAGAGTAGATCTCCCCTCCTGACCATGTCAGATGCTGAAAAGGCATTTGACAGGGTCAGCTGGGCACATTTATTTATTTATATATATTTGTATATATGGGAAAAGCATTGAAAGCATTTGGGATAGAGGGCACAATTTTTGAATTTACTATGGCTCTATATTCTAGACCATCGGGCAGAGTTATTGGATAAAAAATAAAGACACCTTGATTTAATTTAACTAACGGCACCCGTCAAGGGTGTCTGTTAACTCCACTTCTTTATGTTCTCTCACTGGAGCTCCTTGCAAGAAATATTAGAGAGGACAATATCGTAGGATTCGCCAACATGAAATCCCAAATAATAAAATTATATGCCGATGACATCTTATTGACGATACAAGATACCTGTACTTCGACAGATGTAATTATGAGATGTATAAAAATAAATAAATTAAATGTAATAAAAACTGCTATTCCTTTAAATATCGAAAAAACTGAAATAATAGGTCGCGCTACAACAAATGAATATAATATATTAGCATACACTAAGAGACGTAGAGAAAAATAATGTATAATTAATAGAATGTATAATTAATAGTCCAAATACTTGGTGTACTTAAGATAAATTCAAATGGATAGATGAAGATCTCAGTCCTTTATGTCCGTCTCTTACTGTATTCGGCAAAGGGGTAATGTATTCAATGAGAAACAGGATCTTCTAATGCAAGCGTAGTCTTGACTCGATGGTAACCATGAAAAATAAAGAAAACAGGGAGAATCCAATAGTGTAGATTGTCTGTAGATAACAGAGTATGAGGAATAATAGGGAGGTCATACACTCACCTATTTTTGAGCATATACTCGCTCTAGGATATTAGACATTCAGTGGCGTTTGTCCCCCACTGGTAGGATATAGGTGAAGATGGTTCCTCCGTATAAGAAAAGGAATAAAAAACACAATATAGTGCTCACTGGATATAAATAAAAATAAATAAAATGAGAGAATAAAAATACTCACATTCAGATGAGCAGAATAAACTGCTCAGTATAAACGCACGAGTGGTACAATCCCCACCCTGGATTCTTGGCTGTATGTAGACTCCAAGGTGAAAAGTAACCGGGTACCAGGAAATTAATAAAATGAAATAAAAAAGGTATATGGCAAAAATGTGATAAAAGAGCCAATTTTCCTTTATTAATACAGTATAAAATATACATAATAGCCAAAACGCGTTTCGCCACACAGGGCTTTATCAACTGGCAATAGTAAAAAACAGCCTGGTACATAGATACTTATATAAACTTAGATAAAACATGTTAATTCAAATTTTGGCGCCAAAATGACGTCATCAGTGCAATGAATAAAATATAGAAATTTAAAAACCATTCAAAACATAAAAGAAAAAATGCATAATATTAATAAGACAGTATATGTGGTGATCATTAAGTTTTAAAATTAAAACGAGAGTTATATACAAAAATAAAAAGATAAAAAAGAATAGGAAGTCATGTGATCGCAATATAATGCGATCACATGATAAGTATTAGTGCAGCATGGGAAACGTAGTAGGGGGTGGTCACGTGGTCGCAGACCTGCGCGACCTCATGGCTCACCGCACGCATTTGAAACAAGACAGTAGTCCGACGGAAGTCGGCAACTCGCAGCACGCCTCCGCCTGACGTCTGCCAAAGGGGCGGCAACATTCGCCGCAAGTGCATGTGGGACATGTAGTGATTCGGACAGAGGCTAGCATAATAAAACACGCCTCCGTCCGACATCACTGAAGGGGGCGGTGTGAAGTGCCACTCATATATGACTGTGTGCAAATGAAACCCCATATACTTAAATACAATAAAACAAATAGGGACAATAACCAATTGGTATATTTTGCCAGAGAAAATAAAAAAATGAATGAATGAGTAAACATTATAATTGTCACAGTGAATACTGACAATAGGTAGATAAAACATCTAAAGAGAGAAGAGCAAATGCTGATGTTAATAAATAAAAATAGATATAAAAATAAATATAAGAATGAAAAAGAAAATAAAAATAAAAATAAAGATGAAAATAAAGATAAAAATAAATATAAAAATAAAAATAAAAGTAAAAAAATAAATAAGAAATAAATAAAAAATAAAAAATAAATAAAACAAAAAGTAAATAAATAAAAAATAAATAAAAAGGAAAAGAATATGTAATACAGAGGGAAAAAACATTTAAATTTTAATATGACTAGTTTATAAAAAATTAAAAAGGTCAAATTCAGCATTTAAACCCTCAGGAAAGAGAGTTTTAAGTTGAAAAACCCAATACATTTCCCTTTTTCCTAAAGCTTTAGTTATATCACCACCTCTCCATGGGAGAGTAACTTGTTCAATCCCAGTAATTTTTAAAACAGTAGGGTCTTTATTATGTATAAGAAAATGCTTAGAAACTGAATGGTTTTCGTAGTCTCTTCTAATGTTACGGCAATGTTCTGCCAATCTCACTTTTAGGCATCTTTTAGTCATGCCCACAGATTGAAGTCCACATAGGCATTCCAGTAGATATATGACATTTCTGGTATTACAGCCTATAAATTCTTTAATTGTATAGGAAGTTTTAGTGATGTTAGAGGAAAAGTGAGTGGTTTTAGAGTTTTTAATTTTTTTTGTGGTTCTACACACAATGCATTTATTGAACTTAAAACAACCTTTCGGCCTAGATAAAAAGTTTTTATTTTGTAGTACATTCTTGTTACGACACGTACCGTCGGGTAGATAAAGCCGCCGTTTAGGCAATAATCCCCTTCTCCAGAAATGCAGTTTAAATCCAGCCGACCGCCAAACTCCCGAACGAAGTCCACGAACACGGCAACTCCCGATCAGCAAAACAGTCGAACGCCTTCCACAGCTAAAAATAACGAAAGCGCTGTCCCAGTAATAATTCCCCCACAAACGAGACCAAGCTCCGTCTTGAGGGTCAAATGAAGATCTGTTTAATGGGGGCTACCTGCCCGGTATTTATGCAGGTCTCCACAAGGTGGACACTCCCCGAGGGGACCTTGTGGAAGACTGTAAAACATATTGGACAGTAGCCAATCGCAGTGGCTTCAATAATAGCCCTTCCCATCTTACCCATAATTCCGTCTTCTCTACCCCGGAGATAATTAGGAAGAAACCTAATTATCTCCCAAGGTAGAGACCATCGCCATTTTAACTTACAGTAATAAAAATACATTAAAATACATAACTGCAGAAATACCGAATACATATAGTTCGTGTAACGTATCCCCAGACAGCCTGGATCTGAGTGCATGTTTTCACAGGATAGAGCTCAGATCCGATGTATCTAGTCGAATCGCCATGGAGTCAAAGTCTTTCACCAGTCCTTCGGTATACGAATGACTCCATGGGATGGCTGTCTGGGTGAAAGTCAATATGAATGCATAAAAACTCCCGAACGACCGACGTTCGCATGCCTTGTCGAAATGGAAGGTAGGCAGCAGCTTCCAGCGGTGTTCGGTAGTTTAAGTGTCCATTTTTAGTTCCATACAGTTTGTACCGAACACCGCTATGCGTTCGTATGTCCCAAAATGGCCGCTGCCTCGTGGTCGACATGCGAACGACGACCACCCGTACGAATGGAATGGAGAGGTGTCTGCGGTTAACCACAACGTTCTAATTGGGGCCAAGAGGTTAACCAGCAGCACACTCCTCTCCTGGGTGGTCGTTCGTTCGGTAGTTTCAATCGGTAGTTTGCAAATTACACGAACGGGGGTATATGAACAGGCAATTTAGCGAACAAAGGGAAACAGACGAACCAGCAATACAGATGAATCTGTCACACGGCTCCCCCCTTGTGGGACACTCCGGCAGACCCGGCTTGACCCTTTGGCGGGTCAACGTGGGGATGACCGGACTAAGATGGGGTGAGGATGTCGGTTTGCCTGGACAATCCATCTGCATTCCCATTCTGCTTACCGGGTCGATAAGTGATGGTGAAGTTATATGGCTGTAGTGCTAAACTCCACCTCAACAGTCTGCCATTGTCTCCTGAGACCCTGTTAAGCCAGACAAGGGGATTGTGGTCCGTCACCAGGGAAAATTCCTGTCCATATAAATACGGGCTTAACTTTTTCAATGCCCACACCAGGGCCAAACACTCCTTCTCCACTGCCGCATAACTCACTTCTCTGGGTAACAGCTTTCTGCTGAGATATGCGACAGGGTGCTCTCCTCCATCTTCCCCGACCTGGCTCAGCACAGCCCCCAGTCCATACATGGAAGCATCTGTATGGACGAGAAAACGTTTGTTAGGGACTGGGGCAGCCAGGACAGGGGCATTCACAAGAGCTTGTTTGAGTGCTTGGAACGCAGCTTCACAAGCTGGAGACCACAGGACCTGTTTAGGAAGATTTTTCTTTGTCAGGTCAGTCAGGGGTTTAGCAATAGTGCTGTAGTCGGGGACAAAGGGTCTATAGTACCCTGCTGTCCCTAGAAAGGCTAACACCTGGGTCTTGGTGATAGGTGTGGGCCAGTTAGCTACTGCCTCTATCTTGGCTGGCTCTGGCCTCTGGCTCCCACACCCCACTCTGTGACCCAGGTACTGCACTTCAGCCATGCCTAAATGGCACTTCTCTGGCTTCAATGTCAGGCCAGCGGCCCGAATTTTGTCCAGTACTACCCCTACATGTACCAGGTGTTCTTCCCAGGACCCACTGTAGATCGCAATGTCGTCCAGGTATGCACAAGCAAATTCCTGGAATCCATCAAGAAGTCTATCCACCATACGCTGGAAGGTAGCCGTCGCATTCTTCATCCCAAATGGCATGACCTTAAATTGGTACAGGCCAAATGGGGTGACGAAGGCCGACTTGGGGATAGCATCCTCGGCCAGGGGAATCTGCCAATAGCCTTTGCACAGGTCTATGGTGGTCAGATAGCGTCCCCTGGCAATGCGATCTAACAATTCATCTACCCGGGGCATCGGGTAGGCGTCAGTGGTGGTCCGCTCATTGAGACGCCTGTAGTCCACACAGAACCGGGTGGTCCCATCCTTCTTGGGCACCAGGACTACAGGCGAGGCCCAAGGGCTATCGGAGTGTTCGATGACCCCAGCTGGGTCATCTCCTGTATCTCCTTCCGCATTCCTTCCCGGACTGCTTCAGGGATACGGTAAGGGGGTTGTCGCAGAGGGTTCTGTCCAGGGGTTTCTACCTTGTGTACAGCTAGGGTAGTGTAACCAGGTTCTTGGGAGAAGGTCGCCTGCTTTTCCCACAAAAGCTGTCTTGCCTGGCCCTTCTCGGTGGAGCTCAATCTGTCCCCTAGCTGTACCAGGCTAGTAAGATCCGTCTGGGGGTCCCTCTCTAACAGATCTGGTAAAGGTAAACTTTCTGTATCATCTGCAGCAGGGGCACATACTGCAGCGACATTCTCTGGTCTCTCTTGATACTCCTTTAACATGTTCACATGGAAGGATCGCTGGATCCTTTCATCTGAACAGCTGGCTATCAGGTAGGTAGTATCACATATCTGTGCTAACACCTTATACGGGCCCTGCCAAGATGCCTGCATCTTGTTCGCCTTCACAGGTTTGAGTACTAACACTTTCTGCCCAACCTGGAAGACTCGCTGTTGGGCACCCCGATCGTACCATCTCTTCTGTCTCCCCTGAGCCACCTGGAGATTCTCCCTTACCATTAGAGACAGTTTCTCCATGCGGTCCCGGAGTTCCAGAACATACGGTACTATGGGGGTCCCTTCCTGCTCTGTCTCCCCCTCCCAGTGGCCTCTAATGAGATCTAGGGGTCCGCGGACCCTTCTCCCATATAGCAACTCAAAGGGGGAGAACCCAGTAGATTCCTGAGGCACCTCTCTGTAGGCAAACAACAGATGAGGCAGGAATCGCTCCCAGTCTCTGCAAGTGTCAGAAAAGGTCCTCAGCATCTGTTTGAGGGTACCGTTAAATCGCTCGCAGAGACCGTTAGTCTGTGGATGGTAAGGTGAGCTAAGCAGCGGTTTAATGCCGCACACCTTCCACAGTTGCTGGGTGAGCACAGCGGTGAATTGGGTTCCCTGGTCCGAGAGAATCTCTTGAGGGAACCCGACTCTAGTAAAAATCCTAACCAGGGCATCAGCAACTGTCTCTGCCTCTATATTAGACAGTGCTACTGCCTCTGGATAGCGAGTGGCATAGTCCACCACGGTGAGAATATATTTCTTACCGGATGGACTAGCCCTGGCCAGTGGACCCACAATGTCAACGGCTATGCGGGCAAAGGGCTCCCCAATGATAGGCATAGACATAAGCCTAGCTCTTGGGTGGTCCCCCCGCTTTCCTATCCGTTGACATGTGTCACACGTACTGCAGTATGTCCGAACAGCCTGATTAAAGTTTGGCCAAAAGATTAACAAAAACCAAGAGATATCTAATCTATCATATAACCACGGTGGCCCTTATGGCCACCGCCAAAGCCTGGCTAAAACCAAATTCACCACAAATAGGAGTATGTATACAAATAATTGACACAGTTAAAACCTACGAAATTATGGCAAGGTCTCTGAGAACTCCAAGCAAATTTTGGAAAGAAGCATGGGAACTATGGGACAAATACAAGGCTGCGCCAGGAGATGCTGAGCCTGGCAGTTGAGCTGCTAGGAAAAGGTGGGTAGGTCGAGAGTAGAGAGTGAACAAATGACTGTGCTCAGTCAATAATGCCTATCAGTAATGTGGTTGCTGGAGTGATGGCTGGATGTAGACTGCAAGGTACCTGATAGGCCAAGATACCGTATGA